ATTTGTCAGCATTTGGTGTTATCACTATATAAAATTATAATCATTTTGCTAAGTGTATAGTGATATCTCTTTGTGGTTTTAATTTACATTTTCCTAATGAGGAATGATACTAAACATCTTTTAATGTATTTATTGACTTTGTATCTTTTTTGGTGAAATATCTGTTTAATTTTTTTGTTCATTTCCTATTTGAATTATTCTTATTTTACCTGCTGGATTTTGAGGGCTCTTTGTATATTGTAGATACTTGTTGTGTTATATATGTGGTTTTTAAATATTTTGTCCTACTCTGTAATTAAGCTTTTTATAATCTTAACAGGGTCTTTCACAGATCAAATATTTTTGAATTTGATGAAAGCCATTTATTTTTTTCTTTTTAGACTTGGTGTGACATTTGGATAGAGGTTTTGTTTCTGCTTGTCCAGCACCATTTATTGAAAAGGTCATCCTTCTTTTATTGATGGGTGAAATGGATGAAGATGATCAAAAGGTGTAAGCTTCTTTGATTTTATTTCATCATTGATTTTAGTTTTAAGCATATACATCCTACAGTTTTGTTAAATTTACACTTAAGCATTAAAATTTTTGAATGATTATAAATGGTATTGCATTCAAAATTTTAGTGTCCTCTACTTTATTACTACTATATAGAAATAAACTTGATTTTTGTGTGCTTATCTTGTATCCTAAAATCTTGCCGAACACATTTATTTGTTCTAGAAGGCATTTTGTGTGTTCTTGGGATCTTTTATGTAAATAATGATATCATCAACCTGTACAGTCTGTTTTATTTCTTGCTTTCCAAGTTGTCTGATTTTTATTTCCTTTTCTTGCATTATTGAATGGATAGAACTTCCAGTACTGTGTAGAATAAAAGCCATGAGAGTAGACATCTTTTATTGAATTTAAGTCTATTTCTCTTTTTAGTTTATTGAGTTCACTTCAAACTTCAAATTGTTTTAATCTGTAAGGGTTCTAACCAGTGATCTCCATTACACTTGTGTGTTAACATGCATAAAAGGCTGCCCATTTGTAAAATGAACAAACATTTCTTCTATTCCTTTTTTTTTTAATTTGTAACATTTTAATTCTGGTCATTTTCTTTCTGATTATACACTATTCTTTTTTTAATAATAAATTTATTTTTTTTGGTGTTCAATACAGAATAACACCCAGTGCTCATCCCCGTCAAGTGCCCCCCTCAGTGCCCATCACCCATTCACCCCCACCCCCCTCCCTCCTCCCCTTCCACCACCCCTAGTTCATTTCCCAGAGTTAGGAGTCTTTATATTCTGTCTCCCTTTCTGATATTTCCCACACATTTCTTCTCCCTTCCCTTCTATTCCCTTTCACTATTATTTATATTCCCCAAATGAATGAGAACATACAACATTTCTTCTATTCCTAACTTTGAGTTCCTAAAGATAACATTAAACGTTATTACAACAATATGACTTGAGAATCACCAATTGTAAATATTCTTGCCTTGGCATAGACAATACTAAATCTTTTCTGTTGATACAGCTGTAATAAAATAGTCAAACAAGAAAGTTCCAATGGAACCACAAGCAATTGTTTGTACCTCAACTACTTCTACAAGGTAAAGCAGGAGAAGGGTATAGGGAAAAAATGTGTAATACAAAGCAGAGAATAACCACAGAGCAAAGATCTTGCTGGTAATGAAAGGAAACTTTTTTTAGGTTCTGTGGAGCATAGAATCTGTAATATAAAATAGACGGAGGCCCAGAGATTATTCACATTTGGTTTCGTCAGTAACTAGTGTATGACCTGGACATGTATCTTGGCCTCCCAAAGTCTTTAATTTTAATTTAAGAATAAAAATATCTATGTTGAGGAGTTAAGAATTAGATCAAAGTATAATATTTATATGGTCTAACGTCTGGCATGTGGTAGTCAGTAACAGTTTTATTTTCTTTTCCTCCATTGTTCTGCTTACCCAAAGTGTTCCACAAATCTTTCCTGCTACTAAGGAACAGAGAAGGTAGCATTTTATAGAAGGTACATGGCATCATGTGAAATGAAGACGGTAATACTACATGATGCTTCCATAGTTACAATAATTTGGTAGAAAGTACAAACACAAATAGCTACTGAGGTGGATATGTTTGTTTGAGATATTGTATTGTATTTTAAAATCCATATACTGAACATCTGCAGAGGCTGGTATTTCTTACAGAGGGTGGAGATGATCTAATAAGGAGGGTGAGGAACCATGGGACAGGAGAAGGACCAACTAGTAACTACATGAGCAAAACCAGGGACAAATGGACCACAACAGAGCATATTTTATAGGTGACTTCTATCCGAAGTTAACTCTAATGAAAAAAAAATTGGTACTTTACTCCAGAACAGCATAAAATTATGCTTAATTAAATCTGTAGGTGACCATTCGTTGTGAGGATATAGCCTTATTGTTCCTAGATCTTGATAAATGGCAGTTACTGATAATGGAGAGATGTTTTATTTTATTTTTATTATGAAAGCTTTTTTAGTTGTTCTCTCTGTGAAGAGGACCTGTATCCTTTTGGGTGTGCCACTGATTATACAATTGTTTAAGAGTTGGGTTTATTAAAAACTATGCCATACAGAAAAGACTCAGCATTATTGCAAATGTCAAAGAAGATTATAGTTGAAGTTTACCCTTGAATAGTAACAGTCTGTCATAAAAAAGTATTCATATTTGATGGCTGAAGTTACTGCTCCAAAAACAAGGCTGAAAGAGTACATTTTTCTGGGAGGTTTAATAACTGATCTTTGATGTTTATCTCTTTCAAATTTAATAAAATATCTTTGAACATTCCTGTTAAAGACTACATGGCAAATCAAGATGCTCCACCTGGCTGTTGCCCTTTTAGTCAGTAGGAGCTGATGAGCTGTGTAATTAGATAAGCGTTACCACCAATACCAGTGGTACAGTAATGTTTTTCATCTTTTCCATTATCGTACACTTAACTATGAAGCATACACTCATTGGTATTCTAAGCACTTTTGATTGATTTACAGTGTCAGTAAAATTCACAGATTATGCATTCCAAAAAATAAGAGGGAATTAATGTCTTAGGAAAAGTTTTTAGTGTAGCTCCTCTTGCCAACATTAGTTTTTTTAGCATTAGTGCGTCTAAGTGTACAGAAGCAAGTAAACATGGATAAATGTAATCCAAATTAAATTGCTGAGAATATTATTTTCCATTTCGTTTGCTCTGGGTTTATAAGTAATAGTTCTTGATGTATACTTTGAAGTATGTCCTGATTTTTATTAGAGATGTTAAAATAATGTTCAAAATGCTGTGTCACATATTGTCATATATTCCTTTGGACATACTGTTTTCCCCCTAGAGACACATGTACGTTTAAACCAAATGTAAATCCATACAAACAGTAAGAGGACTTTAAAATGAATTTTGAAGATGGAATATCAAAGTACCTCTTAGTATTTCATAAATTTTACATTGTCTATTAAGAAATAATCGAAGGTTTTTCACAATCTATTTTAGCTCTACTTACAAATTTTATGTGCCTCATTATAAAGGCTATTCAAACAACTGAGAAAGTAAATTACTAAATCTAGTTGACTGAGAGATTTGACAGTTATGTAAAATTCTTCCTACTGGTACTAAAATCACAATGTGGATATACCAATAGAGAAAATAAGTATTATTTAGAATGGTTATTATATATTATTGAAAGTAAAAGTCAGTATTTTAGAGTTTGGATTTAAATAAGCTCTACAGGACTTTGTTTTACAAATAATTATGTTTAGATTTTAGACCATTCTTTCATCTATGATTTATAAAAGGAAAATCTACTATTTTAGGGGTTAGGTGACTTTTTAAAATAAATATTTAGAATCTCCAAAAGGCATTTTAGCTATCAGGAAAGGAATCAATCTTTTAACTACTGAAAAAATCTATTTGTAATCAAGTCCTGAATATTTTTTTTGTTCAGGTCACATTCTGAGTAAATGCAGAAAGAATTGCTTCATGGAAATTTAGTGTGAACTATGGGTGTGTCTGATGCAGACACACATAACTTGGCTTCTGAAGAAAATGAATATCCACATAGGATTAGAACACAAACGTTCCTAGTGATGGAGTCAGTGAGCAGAGATTATTAGGGAACATGTGATGATGCCAAACTGTAATCAAAGGTGATTTTTATCTTTGGGCATATAGCTGGCTTTTTATGTGACTCCTAAAAAGTCTGGATGAGAAGGGAATTTTGTTGGTTCTATTTGTTGTTTTGATTTTGATTCATTTTGAGTCATCACGTTGAGTGCGTTTTTCATCAGATCTTGAAAAATCTTTTTGGGCTGTCGTCATATGGCTTTTGATTTTAGAATCTAAAGATTGAGTTATTCATATTTTTCCTTTATAAAAGTCCAAAGAGAAGAGCCATTAAAACTTTGGTTAACTAAGAAGCCACAAAGACCTTCACTTACAAAGAATTATTCAGGCATATACTATGACTAGCCTCATGTTTAAGTTTTCTGATAAACCTCAGGGGATTCATAGAGCTTCTCCAGTGATTCTTGTGGTGGTATTTGGGTTGAGAGGTGGAGTCACAGTGTGCAGTCATGGTGTGAATCCTCTGCTTCGATAAGAATGATTCCACCTTTATCTCTTACCTATTTATTTTTCATGAAGGCTTTCATTTAAGAAAAAGTTCAAACAAAATTTTAATACTATTGGCTGAACTCAAATTTGCATGCTTTTTAAAGACATATTATCTAGAATTTAATTCAATGCAATTCATTAACAAATCTATTAATGTAAGTTTTCTATGTCCCTAGAACGTTTCTGTGTATTTTAAATTATTCAACGAAATAGAACCATACAGTATCTTCTATAGTTGAATTTTTATTGAAATACAATTAAAATACAACATTACATTAATTTCAGGTATACAACATAATTCAGTATTTATATATATTGTGAAATGCTCATCATAGTAAGTCTAGTTAACATTTCTCATCATACTAGTTATTTTTCTTGTGATGAGAATATTTGCGTGTCATCCTTGCACGGGGCCAGCCATGCTGATCTCAGTATCATTCCAATTTTTGTATATGTGCTGCCAAAGCAAGCACAAGAACATTTAAGATCTGCTCTCTTAGCAACTCTCAAATTTATAATATAGTATTATTAACTACAGTCATCATACTGTACATGTCATCCCCATGACATTTATTTTATCCTGGGAGTTTGTACCTTTTGATTACCTTCATGCATCTAGCTCACCCCCTACCCCCTGCTTCTGACAATCACCAGTCTATTCTCTGTATCTATGAGTTTGGTAGTTTTATTTATTTGTTTTCAGATTTTACATGCACTTTACCTGTTAGTGAAATCATACGGAATTTGTCTTTCTCTTCTGACTTACTTCATTTAGTCTAATGCCTTCAAGGTCCATCCATGTTGTCATAAATGGCAAGATTTTCTTTTTTTTATGGCTGAATAAGATTCCATTGGATTTACATACCACATTATCTTTATCCACTCATGCTTCATTAGACACTTGCTTCTATGTCTTGGCTATTGTTAAAAATGCTGCATAGAAAATGAGAGTGCATATATCTGAGTTAGTGTTTTTGTTTCCTTTGGATAAATATCTAGAAGTGAAATTGCTGAATCATATGATAGTTCTATTTTAACTTTTTAAGGAATCTCTATAATTGTTTACCATTCTGCCTGGACCAATGTACAGCCCTTACCCTTCATGGTAGGTGAGCATAAACTTTTCTTTGTCTATACTTCCTTGCTAGGAATAACACTAGTTATTTCTTGTCTTTTTTTCCTTTTTTTTTCCTTGTCTTTTGATAATAGCCATTCTGACAGATGTGAAGTGACATCTCTTTGTGGTTTTGATTTACATTTCTGTGATGATTAGTGGTGTCAAGCACCTTTTCACATATCTGTTTGCCATTTGTATATCTTCTTTGGGAAAATATCTATTCAGCTCTTCTGCCCATTTCTTAATGGAATTGTTTTGTTTTTTGATTTTTGTTTGTTTGTTTTTGCTTTATAGTTTTTGCTAAAACTAAAAACTCATGAGTTGTATGGCTTCTTTAAATATTTTGAATATTAACCCCTTACTGTTTCTATGATTTGCAAACATTTTCTCCTATTCAGAATGTTGGCTTTTCATTATGTTGACGTTTGCTATGCAGAAACCTTTTAGTCTGATTAGTCTCACTTGTTTATTTTTGCTTTTGTTGCCTTTGCTTTTGGAGTCAGATCCGAAAAATTATCACCCAAAAATGATGCCAACAAACTTACTGCCTGATTTCTGCTAGCTTTATGGTTTCAAGTCTTATGTTCAAGTTTCTAATCCATTTTTAGTTAGTATTTGTGTATGAGATGTAAGATCCACTTTCTTTCTTGTTTCTCTTTTCTTTTTTGTTTGTTGGTTTATTTTGCATGTGGCTGTCCAGTTTTCCCAGCACCATTTACTGAAGAGACTGTCCTTACCTTCATTGTATATTCTTGGCCGTCTTGTCATAAATGAATTGATCATATATGCTTGGGTTTATTTCTGGGTTCTATTCTGTTCCATTGATATATATGTTTATTTTATGCCAATACCATAATGTTTTAATTACTTTAGCTTTGTAATATAGTTTGAAATCAGGGTATATTATGCCTCCAGCCTTGTTCTTTCTCAAGATTTCTTTGGCCAAGGCATCTCCGTGGCTCAGTGGTAGAGCGAGATTGAGTCTTGCATCGGGCTTCCCATGGAGAGCCTGCTTCTCCCTCTGCCTATGTCTCTGCCTCTCTCTCTGTGTCTCTCGTGAATAAATAAATAGAATCTTTAAAAAATGATTTATTTCGCTATTTGAGATCTTTAATAATTTTGCTTTTAAAGAAATGAAGCAAAAAAAAAAAAAGGTAACTGTAGAGTTGTCCACTGAATTCTTCTCAAGTAGAGAAAAACCTTTGCTTAGAAACGAGCTCAAGGGATCCCTGGGTGGCGCAGCGGTTTGGCGCCTGCCTTTGGCCCAGGGCGCGATCCTGGAGACACGGGATCGAATCCCATGTCGGGCTCCTGGTGCATGGAGCCTGCTTCTCCCTCTGCCTGTGCCTCTCTCTCTCTCTCTCTCTCTCTCTCTCTCTCTCTCTCTGTGACTATCATAAATAAATAAAGAAAATTAAAAAAAATGAGCTCAAGTGGGCATGTATGTAAAATAATATAAGGCCTGTGCTGATTTACTTGTTTTATTTGATAAGGGAAAAATGAATAGCTAACCTACCCTAAGAAATAAACAGAGATTTAGAGTTAGGTGAGTAGTTAGATTAGAGGATAAGGAAAGTACTCAAGATTATAATCCAGCAAGAGAAAATACAAATCTAAAAGACAAAAAGATGAAAGAAATAAGGAACAGTGCTGAGCAAAAGGATCAGTGGAATGTATTAAGTTAAAATGAGTAATGGTACATAGTGAAAAAAGTTACTATGTAAATTTAAAGAGAAAATTAATATATTTGAGTCAGAGGGAGGGTGGTAGGGGACAAGTTTGGAGACATAATTCTCCTTTTGGAAAAAAATATCTTAGATTGGGTTTAAAAATATTCAATAAAGGGGGAATTTGGGTGGCTCAGTTAAACATCTGACTCTTGATTTCAGCTCAGCATTGTGAGTTCAAGCCCCATGTTGGGCTTTGTGCTGGGCATGGAGCCCCCTGAAAAAAAATCCAATAAAGACACACTAAATAATAAACAAAAAAACAAAACATATTGTATAGTACTTTTAAGAAGCTTGATGTAATATACCTAATGTATATAAATATATACAATAAAGAGTAAATACAGTTAGTTTTTCAAAGACACATGGAATAATTTTTAGAAGTATTAGACTAAAAAGATAATTTAAGAAGTTCTAAGGAGAAAAAATTTCATACAGATCACATTCTCTGACAACAATGTAATAGAAAAATAATAAATAAAAGTAGCAATGTTTTTCTAGATATGGCCCCTAAAGTAAGGAAAATCCATTTGTTTGGTGTTGGACACTTAGGAAACTGGACTACTTTCTAACACCATACACAAAAATAAACTCAAAGTGGATTAAAGACCTAAACGTGAGACCTAAAACCATAAAAATCTCCTAGAAGACAGCACAGACTGATTTTTCTGACATCGGCTATAGTAACATTTTTCTAGATATGGTTCCTAGAATAAGGGAAATGAAAGCAAAAATAAACTGTTGGGACTATATCAGGATAAAAAGCTTTTTCACATCAAAGAAAACCATCAACAAAACAAAAAGAAAACCTACTGAATAGGAGAAGATATTTGCAAATGATACATCTGATAAGGAGTTAATACCAAAATATATAAAGAACTTATATAACTCAACACTAAAAAAAACAAACAATCCAATTACAAAATGAGTAGAGGACTTGAATAGATATTTTTCCAAAGAAAACATCGAGATGGCCAACAGACACATGAAAAGATGCTCAACATCACTCACCATCAGGGAAATGCAAATCAAAACCACAATGATGTATCATCTTACACCAGTTAGAATAGCTAAAATAAAAATGACAAGAAATAACAAGTGTTGACAAGAATGTGGAGAAAAGGGAATCCTCATGCACTGTTGGAGGGAATGTAAATTGGTACAGCCACTGTGGAGAACAATATGGAGGTTCCTCAAAAAATTAAAAATAGAAATAGTATATAATTTAATACTTTCACTACTGAGTATTTTCCCAAAGAAAATGAAAATACTAATTTGAAAAGATATACACACCCCTATATTAATTGTAGCATTTCTTTACAGTAACCAAGATATAGAAGCAACCTAAATGTCCATCAATACATGAGTGGGTAAAGAAAATGTGATATGTATATGTATACACACAGTGGAATATTACACAGCCATAAAAAGGATGAGATTCTGCTATTTGAGAACAACATGGAGGGTAGATGGTATTGTGCTAAGTGAAATGAGAGACTGAGAAGACAAATACTATATGATTTCACTCACTAAGTGGAATCTAAAAAATGGATAAACAACAGAATCAGACCTGTAAATATAGAGAACAAACTGGTGGTAGCCTGAAGGGATGGGAGTAAGGTCTTGGGCAAAACAAATACAACTGAGAGGGAGATACAGGTCTTTAGTTATGGAATGAATAAGTCACAGGAATGAAAGGCACAACCTAAGGAATACAGTCAATGATATTGTAATAGTGATATTAGGTGACAGATGGTAGCTACACTTTTGGCGAACATAGCATAATGTATAAACCTGTTAAATAACTAAGTTGGTCACTGAAACTAATGTAACATTGTATGCCAACTATACTCAAATAGAAAAATAAAAAATAAAAGTTCAAAATTGCCATTGGCAATTTAAAAATTAAAAACACTATTTACAAACTATTTAAAAATAACTAATAATGAATGTGGCCAAAATGGTTCTTAACTGAAATGTTATGACCCTAAATGCTCAAAGGTAAAGGTTTAATCAACTAGAAAAATAACAATTAAATATATATAATAGTAAATTAAGAATGAAATGGTCATTAATAAATAAGTAAATATTTATTAATAAATTAGAAAATCAGAAAAATTAGATTTGCTCATTAACCAATATGTGCTTTCAAAAAGATTAATGAAATAGCAAAAAAAGGAATCATTTTTGTAAGTCTTATTTAATCAAAGAAAGGAGACAAAGGAAATTATCGTTATAAACAAGAATATAATAGTAATAGGAGGAATATTAAAAGTATCATCTGACTCCTTGCTGCCCATAATAAAAAGCTAGATGGAGAGAGAGTATAAGAAACAAAAAATTTAATATAAAGGTGCCAAGTCTTCTAAATTAAAAAAAATAAAACTAATTGCTTTTTCTCAGCATCTTCAGATAATGAATGATTCCAAAATAAATGGGCTTCTATCAAAGATCGAATTCAAAGCACCAAAGAGAAAACATGTTGTAAAGACAAAGCCCTTGTGAAGACCCCATGATTTGAGATACTGTCTCACACATCCTTTCCAATCGGCACAAGGTCCTGTAAGTGTCTTAAGGAAACACCTTACACACTCTCTCTGGTAAACATCAAGGGTTTCTTGAGAGTGTT